GTGCGGAGCCAAAAGCTTTACCATCCGAGCAGTAATACACAGGTCTGCAATCAGAACGATTCCCTTGAGTCTACAATCCATGCGGAGCCAAAAGCTTTACCATCCGAGCAGTACTACACAAGTCTGCAATCAGAACGAGTCCATCGAGTCTACAATCCGAGTGGAGTCAAAAGATTTTCCATCCGAGCAGTAATACCAGGTCTGCAATCGGAACGAGTCCCTTGAGTCTAAAATCCGTGCGGAGCCAAAAGCTTTACCATTCAATCAGAGATACTCAGGTCTGCAATCAGAACGAGTCCTTCGATTCTACAATCCGTGCGGAACCAAAAGCTTTACAATCTGAACAGAAATACACAGGTCAGTAATTAGATCGAGTCCCTCGATTCTACCATGCGTGCTGAGCCAAGAGCTTTACCATCCGAACAGTAATACACAGATCTGCAATCAGAACGAGTCCTTTGAGTCGACAATCCGAGCGGAGCCAAAAGCTTTACCATCCGAGCAGTAATACACATATCTGCAATCAGAACGAGTACCTCGAGTCTACAATCCGTGCGGAGCCAAAAGCTTTACCATCCGAGCAAAGATACTCAGGTCTACAATCAGAAAGAGTCCCTCGAGTCTACAATCCGTACGGAGTCAAAAGATTTACAATCCGAGCAGTAATACACATGTCTTCAATCAGAACGAGTCCCTTGAGTCGACAATCCGAGGGGAGCCAAAAGCTTTACCATCAGAACAGTAATACACAGATCTGCAATCAGAAAGAGTCCGTTGAGTCTACAATCCGTGCGGAGCCAAAAGGTTTACCATCAGAACAGGGATACTCAGGTCTGCAATCAGAACAAATCCTTCGAATCTACAATCCGTGCCGAGCTAAAAGCTTTACTATCATAGCAGTAATACACAGGTCTACAATCAGAAAGAGTACCGCGATTTTACAATCCGTGCGGAGCCAAAAGCTATATCAGCCGAGCAGTAATACACAGGTCTGCAATCAGAAAAAGTCCCTTGAGTCTACAATCCGTGCGGAGCCAAAAGCTTTAACATCCGAGCAGTAATACATAAGTCTGCAATCGGAACGAGTCCCTCGAGTCTACAATCCGTGCGGAGCCAAATGATTTACCATCCGAGCAGTAATACACAGGTCGGCAATCTGAACGAGTCACTTGAGTCTACAATCCGTGCGGAGACAGAAGCTTTACCATCCGGGTAGTAATACACAAGTCTGCAATTAGATCGAGTGCCTCGATTCTACCATCCGTGAGGAGCCAAAAGTTTTACAATCGGTGCAGTAATACACAGATTTGCAATCACAACGAGTCCCTTGAGTATACAATCCGAGCGGAGCCAAAAGATTTACCACCGAACAGGGATACTCAGGTCTTCAAACAGAGCGAGTCCCTCGAGTCTACAATCCGAGCGGAGCCAAAAGCTTTACCATCCGAGCAGTAATACCAGGTCTGCAATCAGAACGAGTCCCTCGATTCTACAATCCCTGCAGAGCCAAAAGTTTTACCATCCGAACAGGGATACTCAGGTCTGCAATCAGAACGAGTCTCTAGAGTCTACAATCCGTGCGGAGCCAAAAGCGTTACAATCCGAGCGGTAATACACAGGGCTGCAATTAGATCGAGTCCCTCGATTCTACCATCCGTGCGGAGCCAAAAGATTTACCATCCGAGCAGTAATACAAAGATCTGCAATCAGAACGAGTCCCTCGAGTCTACAATCCATGCGGGCCAAAAGCTTTACACTCCGAGCAGTAATACCAGGTCAGCAATCAGAACGTCCCTCGATTCTACAATCCGTGCGGAGGCAAAAGATTTAGAATCCGAGCAGGGTTAATCAGGTCTAAAATCAGAACGAGTTCTTCGAGTCTACAATCCGTGCGGAGCCAAAAGATTTACCATCCGAGCAGTAATATACAGGTCTGCAATCACAACGAGTCCCTCGATTCTACCATCCGTGCGGAGCCAAAAGATTTACCATGCGAGCAGTAATACACAGATCTGCAATCAGAATGAGTCCCTTGAGTCTACAATCCGTGCGGAGCCAAGAGCTTTACCATCCGAGCAGTAATACACATGTCTGCAATCAGAACGAGTCCCTCGAGTCTACAGACCGTGCGGAGCCAAAAGCTTTACCATCCGATCAGGGTTACTCAGGTCTACAATCAGAACGAGTTCTTCGAGTCTACAATCCGTGCGGAGCCAAAAGATTTTCCATCCGAGCAGTAATAAACAGGTCTGCAATCACAACGAGTCCCTCGATTCTACCATCCGTGCGGAGCCAAAAGCATTACCATACGAGCAGTAATACACAGATGTGCAATCAGAACGAGTCCCTTGAGTCTACAATCCGTGCGGCGCAAAAAGTTTTACCATCCGAGCAGTAATACACATGTCTACAATCAGAACGATTCCCTTGAGTCTACAATCCGTGCAGAGCCAAAACTTTACTATCCGACATATAATACACAGGTCTGCAATCAGAGCGAGTCCCTCGACTCTACAATCCGTGCGGAGCCAAAAGCTTTAACATCCGAGCAGGGATACTCAGGTCTGCAATCAGAACGAGTCCCTCAAGTCTAAAATCCGTGCGGAGCCGAAAGCTTTACCATCCAAGCAGGGATACTTAGGTCTGTAATCAGAACGATTCCATCGAGTCTACAATCCGTGCGGAGCCAAAACCTTGACAATCCGATCAGTAATAAACAGGTCTGCAATCACAACGAGTCCCTAGATTCTACCATCCGTGCGGAGCCAAAAGCATTACCATACGAGCAGTAATACACAGATCAGCAATCAGAACGAGTCCCTTGAGTCTACAATCCGTGCGGCGCAAAAAGTTTTACCATCCGAGCAGTAATACACATGTCTACAATCAGAACGATTCCCTTGAGTCTACAAACCGTGCAGAGCCAAAAGCTTTACTATCCGACATATAATACACAGGTCTGCAATCAGAGCGAGTCCCTCGACTCTACAATCCGTGCGGAGCCAAAAGCTTTAACATCCGAGCAGGGATACACAGGTCTGCAATCAGAACGAGTCCCTCAAGTCTAAAATCCGTGCGGAGCCGAAAGCTTTACCATCCAAGCAGGGATACTTAGGTCTGTAATCAGAACGATTCCATCGAGTCTACAATCCGTGCGGAGCCAAAACCTTTACAATCCGATCAGTAATACACAGGGCTGCAATTAGACCGAGATCCCTAGATTCTACCATCCGTGTGGGGACAAAAGCTTTACCATCCGAGCAGTAATACAGATGTCTGCAATCAGAACGAGTCCCTTGAGTCTACAATCCGTGCAGACCCAAAAGCTTTACCATCCGAGATATAATAACCAGGTCTGCAATCAGAACGAATCCCTCGAGTCTACAATCCCTGCGGAGAAAAAAGCTTTACCATCCGAGCATGGTTACTTAGGTCTACAACCAGAACGAGTCCCTCGAGTCTACAATCCGTGCGGAGCCAAAAGCTTTAACATCCGATCAGTAATACACATGTCTGCAATCAGAACGAGTCCCTCGAGTCTACAATCAGTGTTGTGACAAAAGTTTTACCATCCGAGCAGTAATACACAAGTCTGCAATTATAGCGAGTCCCTCGATTCTACCATCAGTGCGGAGACAAAAGGTTTACCATCCGTGCAGTAATACACAGATCTGCAATCAGAACGAGTCCCTTGAGACTACAAGCCTAGCGGAGCCAAAAGATATACCATCCGAACTGGGATACTCAGGTCTTCATTCAGAGCGAGTACCTCGAGTCTACAATCCGTGCGGAGCCAAAAGGTTTACCATCCGAGCAGTAATACTCAGGTCTGCAATCAGAACGAGTCCCTCGAGTCTACAATCCGTGCGGAACCAAAAGATTTACCATTCGAGTAGTAATACACAGGTTTGCAATCAGAACGAGTCCCTCTAGACTACAATCCGTGCGGAGCCAAAAGCTTTACCATCCGAGCAGTAATACACATGTCTGCAATCAGAAGGATTCCCTCGGGTCAACAATCCCTGCGAAGCCAAAAGCTTTACCATTCGAGCAGCAATACACAGGTCTGCAATCAGAACGAGTCCCTCGATTCTACCATCGGGTTCGGAGCCAAAACATTTACCATCCGAGCTTTAATACATAAATCTGCCATCAGAACGAGTCCCTCGAGGCTTCAATCCGTGCGGAGCCAAAAGCTTTACCATCCGAGCAGGTTTACTCAGGTCAGCAATCAGAACGGTTCCTTCGAGTCTACAATCCGTGAGGAGCCAAAAGCTTTAGCATCCGAGCAGTAATACACAGGTCTGCAATCAGAACGAGTCCTTCGAGTCTACAATCCGTGCGGAGCCATAAGATTTACCATCGGAGCAGGATACACGTCTGCAATCAGAACGATTCCCTGGATACTACTATCCATGCGGAGCCGAAAGATTTACCATCCGAGCAGTAATACACAAGTCTGCATACAGAACGAGTCCCTCGAGTCTACAATCCGTGCGGAGCCTAAAGCTTTACGATCCAATGAGTAATACACAGGTCTGCAATCACAACGAGTCCTTCGAGTCTACAATCCGTGCGGAGCCAAAAGCTTTGCCCTCCGAGCAGGGATACTCAGGTGTGCAATCTGATCGTGTCCGTCTAGTCTACAATCCGTGCAGAGCATAAAGCTTTATCATCCGAGCAGTAATACAGTTCTGCAATCACAACAATTCCCTCGAGTCTACAATCCTTGCGGAGCCAAAAGCTTTAATATCCGAGCAGTAATACACAGGTCTGCAATGAGAACGATTCCCTCGCGTCTACAATACGTGCGGAGCCATAAGCTTTACCATCCGAACAGTAATACACATGTTTGCAATCAGAACTATTCCCTCGAGTCTACAATCCGTGCAGAGCCAAAAGCTTTACCATCCGAGCAGTATTACACAGGTCTGCAATCAGAACGAGTCCCTCGAGTCTACAATCCGTGCGGAGCCAAAAGCTATACCATCCGAACAGTAATGCACAGGTCTGCAATCAGAGCGAGTCCCTCGAATCTACAATCCGTGCGGAGCCAAAAGCTTTACCATCCGAGCAGTGTTACCCAGGTCTGCAATCAGAACGAGTCCCTCGAGTCTACAATCCGTGCGGAGCCAAATGCTTTACCATCCGAGCAGTAATACACAGGTATACAATCAGAACGAGTCCCTCGAGTCTACAATCCGTGCGGAGCCAAAAGCTTTACCATAAGAGCAGTAAGACACAGGTCAGCAATCAGAACGAGTCACTCGATTTACCATCGGGTGCGGAGCCAAAATCTTTACAATCCGAGCAGTAATACACAGGTCTGCAATCAGAACGAGTCCCTCGAATCTACCATCGGATGCGGAACCAAAAGCTTTACCATCCGTGCAGTAATACATAAGTCTGCAATCAGAACGAGACCCTCGAGTCTACAATCCGTGCGGAGCCAAATGCTATACCATCCGAACAGTAATGCAGAGGTCTGCAATCAGAACGAGTCCCTCGAATCTACAGTCCGTGCGGAGCCAAAAGCTTTACCATCCGAGCAGTAATACGCAGGTCTGCAATCAGAACGATTCCCTCGAGTCTACAATCCGTGCGGATCCATAAGCTTTACCATCCGAGCAATAATACACATGTCTTCAATCAGAACGATTCCCTCGAGTCTACAATCCGTGCAAAGCCAGAAGCTTTACCATTCGAGCAGTAATACACAGGTCTGGAATAAGAACGATTCCCTCGAGTCTACAATCCGTGCGGAGCCAAAGCTTTGCCATCCGAGCTGGGATACTCAGGTCTGCAATCTGATCGTGTCCCTCTAGTCTACATTCCGTGCAGAGCATAAAGATTTATCATCCGAGAAGTAATACACAGGTCTGCAATAAGAACGATTCCCTCGTGTCTACAATCACTGCGGAGCCAAAAGCTTTAGCATCCGTGCAGTAATACACATGTCTTCAATCAGAACGAGTCCCCCGAGTCTACAATCAGTGCGGAGCCAAAAAGCTTTACCATACGAGCAGTAATACAGGTCTGCAATCAGAACGAGTCCCTCGAGTCTACAATCCGTGCAGAGCATAACGCTTTACCATCCGAGCAGTAATATAGAGGTCTGCAATCAGAACGAGTCCCTCGAGTCTACAATCCGTGAGGAGCCAAAAGCTTTTCCATCCGAGCATGGTTACTTAGGTCTACAACCAGAACGAGTCCCTCGAGTCTACAATCCGTGCGGAGCCAAAAGATTTACATCCGATCAGTAATACACAAGTCAGCAATTATAGCGAGTCCCTCGATTCTACCATCAGTGCGGAGCCAAAAGGTTTACCATCCGTACAGTAATACACAGATCTGCAATCAGAACGAGTCCCTTGAGTCTACAATCCGAGCGGAGCCAAAAGATATACCATCCGAACAGGGATACTCAGGTCTTCAATTAGAGCGACTACCTCGAATCTACAATCCGTGCGGAGCCAAAAGCTTTAACATCCAAGCAGGAATACTCAGGTCTGCAATCAGAACGAGTCCCTCGAGTCTACAATCCATGCGGAGCCAAAATCTTTACCATTCGAGCAGTAATACACAGGTCTGCAATCAGAACGAGTCCCTCTAGTCTACAATCCGTGCGGAGCCAAAAGCTTTACCATCCGAACAGTAATACACATGGCTGCAATCAGAACGATTCCCTCGATTCTACAATCCGTGCGAAGCCAAAAGCTTTACCATTCGAGCAGCAATACACAGGTCTGCAATCAGAACGATTCCCTCGAGTCTACAATCCGTGCGGAGCCAAATGCTTTACCATCAGAGAAGTAATACACAGGTCTGCAATCAGATCGAGTCCCTCGATTCTACCATCGGGTTCGGAGCCAAAACCTTTACCATCCGAGCAGTGATACATAATTCTGCCATGAGAACGAGTCCCTCGAGTCTACAATCCGTGCGGAGCCAAAAAGATTTACCATCCGAGCAGGGTTACTCAGGTCTGCAATCAGAGCGAGTCCCTCGAGTCTACAATCCGTACTGAGCCAAAAGTTTTCCCATCCGAGAAGGGTTACTCAGGTCTGCAATCAGAACGGGTCCTTCGAGTCTACAATCCGTGCGGAGCCAAAAGCTTTACCATCCGAGCAGGGTTACTCAGGTCTACAATCAGAACGAGTAATTCGAGTCTACAATCCGTGAGGAGCCAAAAGCTTTAGCATCCGAGCAGAAATAAACAGGTCTGCAATCAGAACGAGTCCTTCGAGTCTACAATCCGTGCGGAGCCATAAGATTTAACATCCGAGCAGGGATACACATGTCTGCAATCAGAAGGATTCCCTGGATTCTACAATCCATGCGGAGCCGAAAGATTTACCATCCGAACAGTAATACACAAGTCTGCAATCAGAACGAGTCCCTCGAGTCTACAATCCGTGCGGATGCTAAAGCTTTACCATCCGATGAGTAATACACAGGTCTGCAATCAGAACGAGTTCTTCGAATCTACAATCCGTGCGGAGCCAAAAGGTTTGCCATCCGCCCAGGGATATTCAGGTCTGCAATCTGATTGTGTCCCTCTAGTCTACAATCCGTGCAGAGCATAAAGCTTTACCATCCGAGCGGTAAAACACAGGTCTGCAATCAGAACGATTCCCTCGAGTCTACAATCCGTGCGGAGTCATAAGCATTACCATCCGAACAGTAATAAACATGTCTGCAATCAGAACTATTCCCTCGAATCTACAATCCGTGCGGAGCCAAAAGCTTTACCATCCGAGCAGTGTTACCCAGGTCTGCAATCAGAACGAGTCCCTCGAGTCTACAATCCGTGCGGAGCCAAATGCTTTACCATCCGAAGCAGTAATACAGGTATACAATCAGAACGAGTCCCTCGAATCTACAATCCGTGCGGAGCCAAAAGCTTTACCATAAGAGCAGTAAGACACAGGTCAGCAATCAGAACGAGTCACTCGATTTACCATCCGTGCGGAGCCAAAATTTTACAATCCGAGCAGTAATACACAGGTCTGCAATCAGAACGAGTCCCTCGAATCTACCATCGGATGCGGAACCAAAAGCTTTACCATCCGTGCAGTAATACACAAGTCTGCAATCAGAACGAGACCCTCGAGTCTACAATCCGTGCGGAGCCAAATGCTATACCATCCGAACAGTAATGCAGAGGTCTGCAATCAGAACGAGTCCCTCGAATCTACAATCCGTGCGGAGCCAAAAGCTTTACCATCCGAGCAGTAATACGCAGGTCTGCAATCAGAACGATTCCCTCGAGTCTACAATCCGTGCGGATCCATAAGCTTTACCATCCGAGCAATAATACACATGTCATCAATCAGAACGATTCCCTCGAGTCTACAATCCGTGCAAAGCCAGAAGCTTTACCATTCGAGCAGTAATACACAGGTCTGGAATAAGAACGATTCCCTCAGAACGAGTCTACAATCCGTGCGGAGCCAAAGCTTTGCCATCCGAGCTGGGATACTCAGGTCTGCAATCTGATCGTGTCCCTCTAGTCTACATTCCGTGCAGAGCATAAAGATTTATCATCCGAGAAGTAATACACAGGTCTGCAATAAGAACGATTCCCTCGTGTCTACAATCACTGCGGAGCCAAAAGCTTTAGCATCCGTGCAGTAATACACATGTCTTCAATCAGAACGAGTCCCCCGAGTCTACAATCAGTGCGGAGCCAAAAGCTTTACCATACGAGCAGTAATACACAGGTCTGCAATCAGAACGAGTCCCTCGAGTCTACAATCCGTGCAGAGCATAACGCTTTACCATCCGAGCAGTAATATAGAGGTCTGCAATCAGAACGAGTCCCTCGAGTCTACAATCCGTGCGGAGGCGAAACCTTTACCATCCGAGCAAGGTTACTTAGGTCTACAACCAGAACGAGTCCCTCGAATCTACAATCCGTGCGGAGCCAAAAGTTTTACCATCCGAGCAGTAATACACAAGTCTGCAATTATAGCGAGTCCCTCGATTCTACCATCAGTGCAGAGCCAAAAGGTTTACCATCCGTACAGTAATACACAGATCTGCAATCAGAACGAGTCCCTTGAGTGTACAATCCGAGTGGAGCCAAAAGATATACCATCCGAACAGAGATACTCAGGTCTTCAATCAGAGCGACTACCTCGAGTCTACAATCCGTGCGGAGCCAAAAGCTTAACATCCAAGCAAAAATACTCGGGTCTGCAATCAGAACGCGTCCCTCGAGTCTACAATCCATGCGTAGCCAAAATCTTTACCATTCGAGCAGTAATACACAGGTCGGCAATCAGAACGAGTCCCTCTAGTCTACAATCCGTGCGGAGCCAAAAGCTTTACCATCCGAGCAGTAATACACATGGCTGCAATCAGAACGATTCCCTCGAGTCTACAATCCGTGCGAAGCCAAAAGCTTTACCATTCGAGCAGCAATACACAGGTCTGCAATCAGAACGATTCCCTCGAGTCTACAATCCGTGCGGAGCCAAATGCTTTACCATCAGAGAAGTAATACACAGGTCTGCAAGCAGAGCGAGTCCCTCGATTCTACCATCGGGTTCGGAGCCAAAACATTTACCATCCGAGCAGTAATACATAATTCTGCCATCAGAACGAGTCCCTCGAGTCTACAATCCGTGCGGAGCCAAAAGATTTACCATCCGAGCAGGGTTACTCAGGTCTGCAATCAGAGCGAGTCCCTCGAGTCTACAATCCGTACTGAGCCAAAAGTTTTCCCATCCGAGAAGGGTTACTCAGGTCTGCAATCAGAACGGGTCCTTCGAGTCTACAATCCGTGCGGAGCCAAAAGCTTTACCATCCGAGCAGGGTTACTCAGGTCTACAATCAGAACGAGTAATTCGAGTCTACAATCCGTGAGGAGCCAAAAAGCTTTAGCATCCGAGCAGAAATAAACAGGTCTGCAATCAGAACGAGTCCTTCGAGTCTACAATCCGTGCGGAGCCATAAGATTTAACATCCGAGCAGGGATACACATGTCTGCAATCAGAAGGATTCCCTGGATTCTACAATCCATGCGGAGCCGAAAGATTTACCATCCGAACAGTAATACACAAGTCTGCAATCAGAACGAGTCCCTCGAGTCTACAATCCGTGCGGATCCTAAAGCTTTACCATCCGATGAGTAATACACAGGTCTGCAATCAGAACGAGTTCTTCGAATCTACAATCCGTGCGGAGCCAAAAGGTTTGCCATCCGCCCAGGGATATTCAGGTCTGCAATCTGATTGTGTCCCTCTAGTCTACAATCCGTGCAGAGCATAAAGCTTTACCATCCGAGCGGTAAAACACAGGTCTGCAATCAGAACGATTCCCTCGAGTCTACAATCCGTGCGGAGTCATAAGCATTACCATCCGAACAGTAATAAACATGTCTGCAATCAGAACTATTCCCTCGAGTCTACAATCCGTGCGGAGCCAAAAGGTTTACCATCCGAGCAGTATTACACAGATCTGCAATCAGAACGAGTCCCTCGAGTCTACAATCCGTGCGGAGCCAAATGCTATATCATCCGAAGAGTAATGCAGAGGTCTGCAGTCAGAACGAGTCCCTCGAATCTACAGTCCGTGCGGAGCCAAAAGCTTTACCATCCGAGCAGTGTTACCTAGGTCTGCAATCAGAACGAGTCCCTCGATTCTACAATCCGTGTGCGAATCAAAGCCATCCGAAAACACAGGTTGCAATCAGAACGAGACCCTCGATCTACAAGCAGACCCAAAGCTACACAGGTCTGAGATATACCTCGATTCTACCATCGGTCAATCAGAACGAGACCCCATCAGAGTTGAGGAGCCAAAAGATTTACCATCCGGAGCAATCCAAAACGCCCTCGAGTCTACAATCCAAAAAAGCTTTACCATCCGAGCCGGGTTATACATGTCTGCAATCAGAACGAGTCCTCAGAGCGGATCCATAAGCTTTAATCCGTGAGGAGCCAAAAACGATTCCCTCGAGTCTTTTCCATCCGAGCATGGTTGGAATAAGAACGTCCCTCGAGTCTACAATCCGTGCGGAAATCCGAGCGATTCAGGTCTGCAATCTGATCGAGTCCCTCTACAATCCATGCGGAGCCAAAGATTTATCATCCGAGAAGTAATACACAGGTCTGCAATCAGAACGAGTTCCTTTGAGTCTACAATCACTGCGGAGCCAAAAGCTTTACCATCCGTGCAGTAATACACATGTCTGCAATCAGAACGAGTCCCTCGAGTCTACAATCAGTGCGGAGCCAAAAGGTTTAAACATCCGCAATCAGAACGAGTCCCTCGAGGTCTTTACCATCCGGAATCAGAGCGACTACCACGAGTCTCCGAGCAGTAATACAATCCGTGCAATCAGAACGACAAAAGATTTAACATCCAAGCAGGGCGGAGGCGAAACCTTACCCAAGGTCTACAACCAGAACGAGTCCCTCAGATCTACAATGCGGCCAAAAGTCCATCCGGTAATACAATCAATCAGAACGAGTCCCTCGAGTCTACAATCCATGCGGAGCCAAAAGGTTTACCATCCGAGCAGTAATACACAGGTCTGCAATCAGAACGAGTCCCTCTAGTCTACAATCCGTGCGGAGCCAAAAGATTTACCATCCGGAACAGAATAATACATGGCTGCAATCAGAACGATTCCCTACAATCCGTGATTCATCCACAAAAATACCGTGCAGTCTACCAAATGCGTAGCCAAAATCTTTACCATTCGAGCAGTAATACACAGGTCTGCAATCAGAACGAGTCCCTCGAGTCTACAATCCGTGCGGAGCCAAAGCCAAATCCGCAGTTTACCATCAGAGATTCCCTCAGTCTACAATCCGTGGTCCAAAAGCTTTAATCAGAGCAATACAGGTCCCAGAACGGATCCCTCGAATCCGTGAGGAGCCAAAAGTCCATTCGAGAGCCAAAAACGAGTCCCTCGATTCTACCATCCGGAGCCAAAATACCATCCGAGCAGTAATACATTCTGCCATCAGAACGAGTCCCTCGAGTCTACAATCCGTGCGGAAAAAGATTTACCGTGCAGAGCCAAAAGATCCCTTACCATCCGAGCCAAAGCTTTAGCAGGGTTACTCAGGTCTGCAATCAGAGCGAGTCCCTCGAGTCTACAATCCGTACTGAGCCAAAATCAGTTTTCCCATCCGAGCAGGGTTACATCAGGTCTGCAATCAGAACGAGTCCTTCGAGTCTACAATCCGTGCGGAGCCAAAATTTAACATTAGCATCACATCTGCAGCAGAAATACACTAGTCTGCAAAGATTTACCATCCGAACAAGTCCAATCGAGTCCTAGTCAAATCCGTGCGGAGCCAAAAGCTTTACCATCCGATGAGTAATACACAGGTCTGCAATCAGAACGAGTCCTTCGAGTCTACAATCCGTGCGGAGCCAAAAGGTTTGCCATCCGAGCAGGGATATTCAGGTCTGCAATCAGAACGATTCCTCTAGTCTGATCCGTGTGAGCCAAAAGCCCATCTAGTCTGCAATCCGTTCCCTCGATTCTACAATCCGAGCCGAAGCCCATCCGAAAGTAAAACATTTACCATCCGAGCGGTAATACACATCCGATAGTAATCTGCAATCAGAACGAGTCCCTCGAGTCTACAATCCGTGCGGAGCCAAAAGCTTTACCATCCGAGCAGTTATTCAGGTCTGAAGGTCTGCAATCAGAACTATTCCTCGAGTCTACAATCCGTGCGGAGTCTGCAAAGGTTTACCATCCGAATCAGTAATACAGGTCTGCAATCAGAACGATTCCCTCGAGTCTACAATCCGTGCGGAGCCAAAAAGCTTTACCATCCGAGCAGTAATACACAGGTCTGCAATCAGAACGAGTCCCTCGAGTCTACAATCCGTGCGGAGCCAAAAGCTTTATCCGAGCAGTAATTACACAGGTCTGCAATCAGAACGAGTCCCTCGATTCTACCAATCCGAACAGCCAATGACCATCCGAGGTAATACTGGTCTGCAATCAGAACGAGTCCCTCGAATCTACAATCCGTGCGGAGCCAAAAGGTCTTTACCATCCGAGCAGTTTAAGGAACACAGGTCTGTCTAATCAGAAAAGGTTTTCCATCCCGAGTCCCTCGATTCTACAATCCGTGTGGAGCCAAAAGCTTTACCATCCGAGCGAATACATGTCTGCAATACAGGTCCCTCGAGTCAAATCAAAAAAAGTTTTACCATCCGAGTAATACACAGGTCGAGAGTCTACAATCCGTGCGGAGCCAAAAGCTTTACCATCCGATCAGGAATACACTGGTCTGCAATCAGAACGAGTCCAATCGGAGTCTTTACAATCCAGGTCTGCGGAGCCCTCGAGTCTAAATCTTTACCATCCGAGAAGTAATACACAGGTCTGCAATCAGAACGAGTCCCTCGAATCTACAATCCGTGCGGAACCAAAAGCTTTACCATCCGAGCAGTAATACAGGTCTGCAATCAGAACGAGTCCCTCGAGTCTACAATCCGTGCGGAGAAAGCCAAAAGCTTTACCATCCGAGATATAATCAGGTCTGCAATCAGAACGAGTCCCTCGAGTCTACAATCCGTCCGAGGAGGTCCAAAAGCCCTTTACCATCCGAGAGCCAAAGGTTACACAGGTCTGCAATCAGAACAATCAGAACGAGTCCTCCGCCCAAAGTCTACAATCCGTGCGGAGCCAAAAGTGCGGGCCAAAGCTTTACCATCCGAGCAGTAATACACAGGTCTGCAATCAGAACGAGTCCCTCGATTCTACAATCCGTGCGGAGCCAAAAGGTTTACCATCCGAGCAGTAATAACTGTTCCCTACAGTCTGCAATCCAGAACGAGTCCTTTCGAGTCTACAATCCGTGCGGAGCCAAAAGATTTACCATCCGAAGCAGGGATACTACAGGTCTGCAATCAGAACGAGTCCCTCGAATCTACAATCCGTGCGAGCCAAAAGCTTTAACATCCGAGCAGGAATACACAGGTCTGCAATCAGAACGAGTCCCTCGAGTCTACAATCCGTGCGGAGCCAAAAGCCATCCGAGCAGTAATACACAGGTCTGCAATCAGAACGAGTCCCTCGATTCTACAATCCGTGCGGAGCCAAAAGCTTACCATCCGACAGGTCTGCAATCTGAATCAGAACGAGTCCCTCTAGTTCTACAATCCGTGCGGAGCCAAAAGCTTTACCATCCGAGCAGTAATACACAGGTCTGCAATCAGAACGAGTCCCTCGAGTCTACAATCCGTGCGGAGCCAAAAGCTTTACCATCCGAGCAGTAATACACAGGTCTGCAATCAGAACGATTCCCTCGAGTCTACAATCCGTGCGAGCCAAAAGCTTTACCATCCGAGCCAAATGCTTTAACGAGTCCATCAGAGGAAAAAAAGTTTACCATCCGACATGTCTGGTCTGCAATCAGAACGAGTCCCTCGATTCTACAATCCGTGCGGAGCCAAAAGATTTACCATCCGAGCAGTAATACACAGGTCTGCAATCAGAACGAGTCCTCGAAAAAAAATTTGCCATCCGATTTACCATCCGAGAGCCAAAAGGTTTACCATAATTCAGGTCTGCAATCAGAACGAGTCCCTCGAGTCTACAATCCGTGCGGAAAAGACCATCCGAACCAAGTCTGCAATACCATTCTACCAATCCGTGAGGAGGGTTACTCAGGTCTGCAATCAGAGCGAGTCCCTCGAGTCTACAATCCGTACTGAGCCAAATGTTTTCCCATCCGAGCAGGGTTACTCAGGTCTACAATCAGAACGAGTACTTCGAGTCTACAATCAGTGAGGAGTCAAAATCTTTAGCATCGGAGCAGAAATACACTAGTCTGCAATCAGAACGAGTCCCTCGAGTCTACAATCCGTGCGGAGCAAAAGCTTTACCATCCGATGAGTAATACACAGGTCTGCAATCAGAACGAGTCCTTCGAGTCTACAATCCGTGCGGAGCCAAAAGGTTTGCCATCCGCCCAGGGATATTCAGGTCTGCAATCTGATTGTGTCCCTCTAGTCTACAATCCGTGCAGAGCATAAAGCTTTACCATCCGAGCGGTAATACACAGTTCTGCAATCACAACGAGTCCTTCGAGTCTACAATCCTTGCGGAGCCAAAAGCTTTACCATCCGAGCAGCAATACAGAGGTCTGCAATCAGAACTATTCCCTCGAGTCTACAATCCGTGCGGAGTCATAAGCTTTACCATCCGAACAGTAATACACATGTCTGCAATCAGAACGATTCCCTCGAGTCTACAATCCGTGCGGAGCCAAAAGCTTTACCATCCGAGCAGTATTACACAGGTCTGCAATCAGAACGAGTCCCTCGAGTCTACAATCCGTACGGAGCCAAATGCTATACCATCCGAACAGTAATGAAGAGGTCTGCAATCAGAACGAGTCCCTCGAAACTACAGTCCGTGCGGAGCCAAAAGCTTTACCATCCGAGCAGTGTTACCCAGGTCTGCAATCAGAACGAGTCCCTCGATTCTACAATCTGTGTGGAGCCAAAAGCGTTACCATCCGAGCAGTAATACACAGGTCTGCAATCAAAACGATTCCCTCGAGTATACAATCCGTGCGGAGCCAAATGCTTTACCATCCGATCAGGAATACACTGGTCTGCAATCAGAACGAGTCCATCGAGTCTACAATCCGTACGGAGCCGAAAGCTTTACCATCCGAAAAGTAAAACACAGGTCTGCAATCAGAACAAGTCCCTCGAATCTACAATCCGTGCGGAAACAAAGGCTTTGCCATCTGAGCAGTAATACACAGGTCTGCAATCAGAACGAGTCCCTCGAATCTACAATCCGTGCAGACCCAAAACCTTTACCATCCGAGATATAATACACAGGTCTGCAATCAGAACGAGTCCCTCGAGTCTACAATCCATGCAGAGCCAAAATCTTTACCATTCGAGCAGTAATACACAGGTCTGCAATCAGAAGAGAGTCCCTCTAGTCTACAATCCGTGCGGAGCCAAAAGCTTTACCATCCGAACAGTAATACACATGGCTGCAATCAGAACGATTCCCTCGAGTCTACAATCCGTGCGAAGCCAAAAGCTTTACCATTCGAGCAGCAATACACAGGTCAGCAATCAGAACGATTCCCTCGAGTCTACAATACGTGCGGAGCCAAATGCTTTACCATCAGAGAAGTAATACACAGGTCTGCAATCAGAACGAGTCCCTCGATTCTACCATCTTGTTCGGAGTTGAAACCTTTACCATCCGAGCAGTAATATATAATTCTGCCATCAGAACGAGTCCCTCGAGTCTACTATGCGTACTGAGCCAAATGTTTTCCCATCCGAACAGGGTTACTCAGGGCTGCATTCAGAACGGGTCCTTCGAGTCTACAGTCCGTGCGGAGCCAAAAGATTTACCATCCGAGCAGGGTTACTCAGGTCTACACTCAGAACGAGTACTTTGAATCTACAATCCGTGAGGAGCCAAAAGCTTTAGCATCCGAGCAGAAATACACAGGTCTGCAATCAGAACGAGTTCTTCGAGTCTACAATCCGTGCGGAGCCATAAGCTTTACCATCCGAGCAGGGATACACATGTCTGCAATCTTATCATGTCCCTCTAGTCTACACTCCGTGCAGATCATAAAGTTTATCATCCGAGCAGTAACACACAGGTCTGCAATCAGAACAATTCCCTCGTGTCTACAATCACTGCGGAGCCAAAAGCTTTAGCATCCGTTCAGTAATACACATGTCTTCAATCAGTACGAGTGCCTCGAGTCCACAATCCGTGCGGAGCCTAAAGCTTTACCATCCGAGCAGTAATACACAGGTCTGCAATCAGAACGAGTCCCCCGAGTCTACAATCCGTGCGGAGCCAAAAGCTTTACATCCGAGCAGGGTTCCACAGGTCTGCAATCAGAACGAGTCCCTCGAGTCTACAAACCGTACGGAGCCAAAAGCTTTCCCATCCGAGCAGTAATACACATGTCTGCAATCATAACGATTCCCTCGATTCTACAATCCGTGCGGAGCCAAAAACTTTACCATCCGTGCAGTATTACACAGGTCTGCAATCAGAACGAGTCCCTCGATTCAACAAACCGTGCGTAGCCAAAATCTTTAACATCCGATCAGTAATGCACAGGTCTGCAATCAGACCGAGTCCCTCGAGTCTACACTCCGTGCGGAGCCAAAAGCTTTACCATCCAAGCAGTAATACACATGTCTGCAATCTGAACGATTCCCTCGAGTCTACAATCCGTGCGGAGCCTAAAGCTTTACCATCCGAGCAGTAATGCACAGGTCTGCAATCAGAACGAGTCCCTCGAGTCTACAATCCGTGCGGAGCCAAAAGCTTTACCATCCGAACAGTAATACACTGGTCTGCAATCAAAACGAGTCCCTCGAGTCTACAATCCGTGCGAAGCCAAAATCTTTACCATCCGAGCAGTAATACACATGTCTGCAATCAGAACGATTCCCTCGAGACTACAATCCGTGCGGAGCCATAAACTTTACCATCCGAGCAGTATTACACAGGTCTGCAATCAGAACGATTCCCTCGAGTCTACAATCAGTGCGGATCCAAAAGCTTTACCATCCAAATAGTAATGCACAGGTCTTCAATCAGAACGAGTCCCTCGAGTCTAGAATCCGTGCGGAGCCAAAAGCTTTACCATCCCAGCAGTAATACATATGTCTGCAATCAGAACGATTCCCTCGAGTCTACAATCCTTGCGGAGCCTAAAGCTTTACCATCCGAGCAGTAATGCACAGGTCTGCAATCAGAACGTGTCCCTCGAATCTAAAATCCGTGCGGAGCCAAAAGCTTTACCATGCGAGCAGTAATACACAGGTCTGCAATCAGAACGATTCCCTTGAGTCTAATCCGTGCGAAGCAAAAAGATTTACCATCCGAGCAGTAATACACAAGTCTGCAATCAGAACGAGTGCCTCGAGTCTACAATCCGTTCGGAGCCAAAGCTTTACATCCGAGCAGGGTTACTCAGGTCGGCAATCAGAACGATTCCTCGAGTCTACAATCCTTGCTGAGCCTAAAGCTTTACCATCCGAGCAGTAATACGCAGGTCTGCAATCAGACCGATTCCCTCGAGTCTACAATCCGTGCGGATCCATAAGCTTTACCATCCGAGCAATAATACACATGTCTGCAATCAGAACGATTCCCTCGAGTCTACAATCCGTGCAAAGCCAGAAGATTTACCATTCGAGCAGTAATACACAGGTCTGGAATAAGAACTATTCCCTCGAGTCTACAATCCGTGCGGAGCCAAAAGCTTTAGCATCCGAGCAGGATTACACAGGTCTGCAATCAGAACGATTCCGTCGAGTCTACAATCCGTGCGGAGCCATAAGCTTTACCATCCGATTAGTAATACACATGTCTGTAATCAGAACGATTCTCTCGATTCTAACATCGGGTGCGGATCCAAAAGCTTTACCATCCGAGCAGTAATACATCAGAGCCAGTCCCTCGAGTCTACAAACCGTGCGGAGCCAAAAGTTTACCATCAGAATAGGGTTACTCAGGTCTGCAATCAGAACAAGTCCCTCGAGTCTACAATACATACTGTGACAAAAGCTTTCCCATCCGAACAGGGTTACTCAGGTCTGCAATCAGAACGAGTCCCTCGAGTCTACAATACATACTGTGACAAAAGCTTTGCCATCCGAGCAGGAATACTCAGGTCTGCAATCTGATCGTGTCCCTCTAGTCTACAATCCGTGCAGAGCATAAAGATTTATCATCCGAGCAGTAATACAGAGGTCTGCAATCAGAACAATTCCCTCGTGTCTACAATCTCTGCGGAGCCAAAAGCTTTAGAATTCGTGCAGTAATACACAAGTCTGCAATCAGAACGAGTCCCTCGAGTCTACAATCCGTGCGGAGCCAAAAGCTTTACATCCGAGGAGTAATACACATGTCTGCAATCTGAACGATTCCCTCCAGTCTACAATCCTTGCGGAGCCTAAAGCTTTACCATCCGAGCAGTAATGCACAGGTCTGCAATCAGACCGAGTCCCTCGAGTCTACAATCCGTACGGAGCCAAAAGCTTTCCCATCGGTGCAGTGTTACTAAGGTCTGCAATCAGAACGGGTCGTTCGAGTCTACAGTCCGTGCGGAGCCAAAAGCTTTACCATCCGAGCAGGGTTACTCAGGTCTACAATCAGAACGAGTCATTCGAGTCTACATTCCGTGCGGAGCCAAAAGCTTTGCCCTCCGAGCAGGGATATTCAGGTCTGCAATCTGATCGTGTCCCTCTAGTCTACTATCCGTGCAGAGCATAAAGCTTTACCATCCGAGCAGTAATACACAGGTCTGCAATCAGAAAGATTCCCTCTAGTCTACAATCCGTGCGGAGCCAAATGCTTTAGCATCCCAGCAGTAATACACCTGTCTGCAATCAGAACGATTCCCTCGAGTCTACAATCCGTGCGGAGCCTAAAGCTTTACCATCCGAACAGTAATGCACAGGTCTGCAATCAGAACGAGTCCCTCGAGTCTACAATCCGTGCGGAGCCAAACGATTTACCATCCGAGCAGTAATACATAAGTCTGCCATCCGAACGAGTCCCTCGAGTCTACAATCCGTGCGGAGCCAAAAGCTTTACCATCCGAGCAGGGTTACTCAGGTCTGCAATCAGAACGACTCCCTCGAGTCTACACTCCGTACGGAGCCAAAAGCTTTCCCATCCGAGCAATATTACTCAGGTCTGCAATCAGAACGGGTACTTCGAGTCTACCGTCCGTGCGGAGCCCAAAGCTTTACCATCCGAACAGGGTTACTCAGGTCTACAATCAGAACGAGTACTTCGAGTCTACAATCCGTGCGGAGCCAAAAGCTTTACCATCCGAGCGGTAATACACAGATCTGCAATCAGAACGAGTCCTTCGATTCTACAATCCGTGCGGAGCCTAAAGCTTTGCCATCCGAGCAGTGATACTCAGGTCTGCAATCTGATCGTGTCACTCTGGTCTACAATCCGTGCAGAGCATAAAGCTTTAACATCCGAGCAGTAATACACAGGTCTGCAATCAGAACGATTCCCTCTAGTCTACAATCCGTGCGGAGCCAAAAGCTTTACCATCCGAGCAGTAATACACATGTCTGCACTCAGAACGATTCCCTCGAGTCTACAATCCGTGCGGAGCCTAAAGCTTTACCATCCGAACTGTAATGCAGAGGTCTGCAATCAGAACAAGTCCCTCGAGTCTACAATCCGTGCGGAGCCAAACGCTTTACCATCCGAGCAGGTTTACTCAGGTCTGCAATCAGAACGAATCCCTCGAGTCTACAATCCGTACGGAGCCAAAAGCTTTCCCATCCGAGCAATATTACTCAGGTCTGCAATCAGAACGGGTCCCTCGAGTCTACAATCCGTGCGAAGCCAAAAGCTTTACCATCCGAGCAGTAATACACATGTCTGCAATCAGAACGATTCCCTCGAGTCTACAATCCGTGCGGAGCCATAAACTTTACCATACGAGCAGTATTAAACAGGTCTACAATCAGAACGAGTCCTTCGAGACTACAATCCGTGCGGAGCCAAAAGCTTTACCATCCGAACAGTAATGCACAGGTCTTCAATCAGAACGAGTCCCTCGAGTCTAGAATCCGTGCGGAGCCAAGAGCTTTACCACCCGAGCAGTAATACACATGTCTGCAATCAGAACGATTCCTCGAGTCTACAATCCGTGCGGAGCCTAAAGCTTTACCATTCGAGCAGTAATGCACAGGTCTGCAATCAGAACGAGTCCCTCGAGTCTACAATCCGTGCGGAGCCAAAAGCCTTACCATCCGGGCAGTAATACACTGGTCTGCAATGAAAACGAGTCCTCGAGTCTACAATCCGTGCGTAGCCAAAAGCTTTACCATTCGTGCAGTAATACACAGGTCTGCAATCAGAACGATTCCCTCGAGTCTACAATCCGTGCGGAGCCATAAGCTTTACCATCCGAGCAGTAATACACAGGTCTGCAATCAGAACGAGTCCCTCGAATCTACAACCGTGCGGAGCCAAACGATTTACCATCCGAGCAGTAATACATAAGTCTGCCATCAGAACGAGTCCCTCGAGTCTACAATCCGTGCGGAGCCAAAAGCTTTACCATCCGGGCAGGGTTACTCAGGCCTGCAATCAGAACGAGTCCCTCGAGTCTACAATCCGTACGGAGCCAAAAGCTTTCCCATCCGTGCAATGTTACTCAGGTCTGCAATCAGAACGGGTCCTTCGAGTCTACAATCCGTGCGGAGCCAAAAGCTTTACCATCCGATCAGTAATACACAGGTCTGCAATCAGAACGAGTCCTTCGAGTCTACAATCCGTGCGGAGCCAAAAGCTTTGCCATCCGAGCAGGGATACTCAGGTCTGCAATCTGATCGTGTCCCTCTAGTCTGCAATCCGTGCAGAGCCTAAATCTTTACCATCCGAACAGTAATGCACAGGTCTGCAATCAGAACGAGTCGCTCGAGTCGACAATCCGTGCGGAGCCGAAAGATTTACCATCCGATCAGTAATACACTGGTCTGCAATCGAAACGAGTCCCTCGAGTCTACAATCCGTGCGAACCCAAAAGCTTTACCATTCGAGCAGTAATACACAGGTCTGCATTCAGAACGATTCCCTCGAGTCTACAATCCGTGCGGAGCCTAAATCTTTACCATCCGAACAGTAATGCACAGGTCTGCAATCAGAACGAGTCCCTCGAGTCTACAATCCGTGCCTAGCCAAACGATTTACCATCCGAGCAGTAATACATAAGTCTGCCATCAGAACAAGTCCCTCGAGTCTACAATCCGTGCGGTGCCAAAAGGTTTACCATCCGAGCATGGTTACTCAGGTCTGCAATCAGATCGAATCCCTCGAGTCTACAATCCGTACGGAGCCAAAAGCTTTACCATCCGAGCAGTAATACACATGTCTGCAATCATAACGATTCCCTCGAGTCTACAATCCGTGCGGAGCCGAAAACTTTACCATCCGATCAGTATTACACAGGTCTGCAATCAGAACGACTCCCTCGAGTCTACAATCCGTGCGGAGCCAAAATCTTTACCATCCGAACAGTAATGCACAGGTCTGCAATCAGAACGATTCCCTCGAGTCTACAATCCGTGCGGAGCCATAAACTTTACCATCCGAGCAGTATTACACTGGTCTGCAATCAGAGCGAGTCCCTCGAGTCTACAATCCGTGCGGAGCCTAAAGCTTTACCATCCGAACAGTAATGCACATGTCTGCAATCAGAACGAGTCCCTCGAGTCTACAATCCGTGCGGAGCCAAAAGATTTACCATCCGAGCAGTAATACACTGGTCTGCAATCGAAACGAGTCTCTCGAGTCTACAATCCGTACGAACCCAAAAGCTTTACCGTTCGAGCAGTAATACACAGGTCTGCAATCAGAACGATTTTCTCGAATCTATAATCCGGGCGGAGCCAAATGCTTTACCATCAGAGCAGTAATACACAGGTCTGCAATCAGAACGAGTCCCTCGAGTCTACAATCCGTGCGGAGCCAAAAGATTTACCATCCGAGTCCTCCGATCAGAACGAGTCCCTCAAGTCTAAATCCGTGCGGAGCCAAAAGCTTTACCATCCGGGCAGGGTTACTCAGGCCTGCAATCAGAACGATTCCCTCCTTTCTACAATCCGTACGGAGCCAAAAGCTTTCCCATCCGAGCAATGTTAATCAAATCTGCAACCAGAACGGGTCCTTCGAGTCTACAGTCCGTGCGGAGCCAAAAGCTTTACCAACCGAGCAGGGATACTCAGGTCTGCAATCTGATCGTGTCCCTCTAGTCTACAATCCGTGCAGAGCATAAAGCTTTACCATCCGAGCAGTAATACACAGGTCTGCAATCAGAACGAGTCCCTCGAGTCGACAATCCGTGCGGAGCCAAAAGCTTTACCATCCGAGCAGTAATACACTGGTCTGTAATCGAAACGAGTCCGTCGAGTCTACAATCCGTGCGAACCCAAAAGCTTTACCATTCGCGCAGTAATACACAGGTCTGCAATCAGAACGATTCCCTCGAGTCTATAATCCATGCGGAGCCAAATGCTTTACCATCAGAGCAGTAATACACAGGTCTGCAATCAGAACGAGTCCCTCGAATCTACAATCCGTGCGGAGCCAAACGATTTACCATCCGAGCAGTAATACATAAGTCTGCCATCAGAACGAGTCCCTCGAGTCTACAATCCGTGCGGTGCCAAAAGCTTTACCATCCGAGCAGGGTTACTCAGGTCTGCAATCAGAACGAGTCCCTCGAGTCTACAATCCGTACGGAGCCAAAAGCTTTCCCATCCGAGCAGTAATACACATGTCTGCAATCATAACGTTTCCCTCGAGTCTACAATCCGTGTGGAGCCGAAAACTTTACCATCCGATCAGTATTACAGAAGTCTGCAATCAGAACGAGTCCCTCGAGTCTACAATCCGTGCGGAGCCAAAATCTTTACCATCCGAACAGTAATGCACAGGTCTGCAATCAGAACGATTTCCTCGAGTCTACAATCCTTGCGGAGCCTAAAGCTTTACCATCCGAGCAGTAATGCACAGGTCTGCAATCAGAACGTGTCCCTCGAATCTACAATCCGTGCGGAGCCAAAAGCTTTACCATGCGAGCAGTAATACACAGGTCTGCAATCAGAACGATTCCCTTGAGTCTAATCCGTGCGAAGCAAAAAGATTTACCATCCGAGCAGTAATACACAAGTCTGCAATCAGAACGAGTGCCTCGAGTCTACAATCCGTTCGGAGCCAAAGCTTTACATCCGAGCAGGGTTACTCAGGTCGGCAATCAGAACGATTCCCTCGAGTCTACAATCCTTGCTGAGCCTAAAGCTTTACCATCCGAGCAGTAATACGCAGGTCTGCAATCAGACCGATTCCCTCGAGTCTACAATCCGTGCGGATCCATAAGCTTTACCATCCGAGCAATAATACACATGTCTGCAATCAGAACGATTCCCTCGAGTCTACAATCCGTCCAAAGCCAGAAGCTTTACCATTCGAGCAGTAATACACAGGTCTGGAATAAGAACGATTCCCTCGAGTCTACAATCCGTGCGGAGCCAAAAAGCTTTAGTATCCGAGCAGGATTACACAGGTCTGCAATCAGAACGATTCCTCGAGTCTACAATCCGTGCGGAGCCATAAGCTTTACCATCCGATTAGTAATACACATGTCTGTAATCAGAACGATTCTCTCGATTCTAACATCGGGTGCGGATCCAAAAGCTTTACCATCCGAGCAGTAATACATCAGAGCCAGTCCCTCGAGTCTACAAACCGTGCGGAGCCAAAAGTTTACCATCAGAATAGGGTTACTCAGGTCTGCAATCAGAACAAGTCCCTCGAGTCTACAATACATACTGTGACAAAAGCTTTCCCATCCGAGCAGGGTTACTCAGGTCTGCAATCAGAACGAGTCCCTCGAGTCTACAATACATACTGTGACAAAAGCTTTGCCATCCGAGCAGGGATACTCAGGTCTGCAATCTGATCGTGTCCCTCTAGTCTACAATCCGTGCAGAGCATAAAGCTTTATCATCCGAGCAGTAATACAGAGGTCTGCAATCAGAACAATTCCCTCGTGTCTACAATCTCTGCGGAGCCAAAAGCTTTAGAATTCGTGCAGTAATACACAAGTCTGCAATCAGAACGAGTCCCTCGAGTCTACAATCCGTGCGGAGCCAAAAGCTTTACCATCCGAGGAGTAATACACATGTCTGCAATCTGAACGATTCCTCCAGTCTACAATCCTTGCGGAGCCTAAAGCTTTACCATCCGAGCAGTAATGCACAGGTCTGCAATCAGACCGAGTCCTCGAGTCTACAATCCGTACGGAGCCAAAAAAAGCTTTCCCATCGGTGCAGTGTTACTTCTGCAATCGAACGGGTCGTTCGAGTGTTAGTCCGTGCGGAGCCAAATGCTTTACCATCCGAGCAGGGTTACTCAGGTCGTCCGAACGAGTCATTCGAATCCATTCCGTGCGGAGCAAAAGCTTTGCCCTCCGAGCAGGGATATTCAGGTCTGCAATCTGATCGTGTCCCTCTAGTCTACTATCCGTGCAGAGCATAAAGCTTTACCATCCGAGCAGTAATACACAGGTCTGCAATCAGAAAGATTCCTCTAGTCTACAATCCGTGCGGAGCCAAATGCTTTAGCATCCCAGCAGTAATACACCTGTCTGCAATCAGAACGATTCCTCGAGTCTACAATCCGTGCGGAGCCTAAAGCTTTACCATCCGAACAGTAATGCACAGGTCTGCAATCAGAACGAGTCCCTCGAGTCTACAATCCGTGCGGAGCCAAACGATTTACCATCCGAGCAGTAATACATAAGTCTGCCATCCGAACGAGTCCCTCGAGTCTACAATCCGTGCGGAGCCAAAAGCTTTACCATCCGAGCAGGGTTACTCAGGTCTGCAATCAGAACGACTCCCGAGTCTACACTCCGTACGGAGCCAAAAGCTTTCCCATCCGAGCAATATTACTCCAGGTCTGCAATCAGAACGGGTACTTCGAGTCTACCGTCCGTGCGGAGCCCAAAGCTTTACCATCCGAACAGGGTTACTCAGGTCTACAATCAGAACGAGTACTTCGAGTCTACAATCCGTGCGGAGCCAAAAGCTTTACCATCCGAGCGGTAATACACAGATCTGCAATCAGAACGAGTCCTTCGATTCTACAATCCGAGCGGAGCCTAAAGCTTTGCCATCCGAGCAGTGATACTCAGGTCTGCAATCTGATCGTGTCACTCTGGTCTACAATCCGTGCAGAGCATAAAGCTTTAACATCCGAGCAGTAATACAGGTCTGCAATCAGAACGATTCCCTCTAGTCTACAATCCGTGCGGAGCCAAAAGCTTTACCATCCGAGCAGTAATACACATGTCTGCACTCAGAACGATTCCCTCGAGTCTACAATCCGTGCGGAGCCTAAAGCTTTACCATCCGAACTGTAATGCAGAGGCCTGCAATCAGAACAAGTCCCTCGAGTCTACAATCCGTGCGGAGCCAAACGCTTTACCATCCGAGCAGGTTTACTCAGGTCTGCAATCAGAACGAATCCCTCGAGTCTACAATCCGTACGGAGCCAAAAGCTTTCCCATCCGAGCAATGATACACATGTCTGAAATCATAACGATTCCCTCGAATCTACAATCTATGCGGAGCCAAAAACTTTACCATCCGAGCAGTATTACACAGGTCTGCAATCAGAGCGAGTCCCTCGAGTCTACAATCCGTGCGGAGCCAAAAGATTTACCATCCGAGCAGGGTTACTCAGGTCTGCAACCAGAACGAGTCCCTCGACTCTACAATCCGTACGGAGCCAAAAGCTTTCCCATCCGAGCAATATTACTCAGGTCTGCAATCAGAACGGGTCCCTCGAGTCTACAATCCGTGCGAAGCCAAAAGCTTTACCATCCGAGCAGTAATACACATGTCTGCAATCAGAACGATTCCCTCGAGTCTACAATCCGTGCGGAGCCATAAACTTTACCATACGAGCAGTATTAAACAGGTCTACAATCAGAACGAGTCCTTCGAGACTACAATCCGTGCGGAGCCAAAAGCTTTACCATCCGAACAGTAATGCACAGGTCTTCAATCAGAACGAGTCCCTCGAGTCTAGAATCCGTGCGGAGCCAAGAGCTTTACCACCCGAGCAGTAATACACATGTCTGCAATCAGAACGATTCCCTCGAGTCTACAATCCGTGCGGAGCCATAAGCTTTACCATCCGAGCAGTAATACACATGTCTGCAATCATAACGATTCCCTCGAGTCTACAATCCGTGTGGAGCCGAAAACTTTACCATCCGATCAGTATTACAGAAGTCTGCAATCAGAACGAGTCCCTCGAGTCTACAATCCGTGCGGAGCCAAAATCTTTACCATCCGAACAGTAATGCACAGGTCTGCAATCAGAACGATTTCCTCGAGTCTACAATCCTTGCGGAGCCTAAAGCTTTACCATCCGAGCAGTAATGCACAGGTCTGCAATCAGAACGTGTCCCTCGAATCTACAATCCGTGCGGAGCCAAAAGCTTTACCATGCGAGCAGTAATACACAGGTCTGCAATCAGAACGATTCCCTTGAGTCTAATCCGTGCGAAGCAAAAATTTTACCATCCGAGCAGTAATACACAAGTCTGCAATCAGAACGAGTGCCTCGAGTCTACAATCCGTTCGGAGCCAAAGCTTTACATCCGAGCAGGGTTACTCAGGTCGGCAATCAGAATGATTCCCTCGAGTCTACAATCCTTGCTGAGCCTAAAGCTTTACCATCCGAGCAGTAATACGCAGGTCTGCAATCAGACCGATTCCCTCGAGTCTACAATCCGTGCGGATCCATAAGCTTTACCATCCGAGCAATAATACACATGTCTGCAATCAGAACGATTCCCTCGAGTCTACAATCCGTGCAAAGCCAGAAGCTTTACCATTCGAGCAGTAATACACAGGTCTGGAATAAGAACGATTCCCTCGAGTCTACAATCCGTGCGGAGCCAAAAGCTTTAGCATCCGAGCAGGATTACACAGGTCTGCAATCAGAACGATTCCCTCGAGTCTACAATCCGTGCGGAGCCATAAGCTTTACCATCCGATTAGTAATACACATGTCTGTAATCAGAACGATTCTCTCGATTCTAACATCGGGTGCGGATCCAAAAGCTTTACCATCCGAGCAGTAATACATCAGAGCCAGTCCCTCGAGTCTACAAACCGTGCGGAGCCAAAAGTTTACCATCAGAATAGGGTTACTCAGGTCTGCAATCAGAACAAGTCCCTCGAGTCTACAATACATACTGTGACAAAAGCTTTCCCATCCGAGCAGGGTTACTCAGGTCTGCAATCAGAACGAGTCCCTCGAGTCTACAATACATACTGTGACAAAAAGCTTTGCCATCCGAGCAGGGATACTCAGGTCTGCAATCTGATCGTGTCCCTCTAGTCTACAATCCGTGCAGAGCATAAAGCTTTATCATCCGAGCAGTAATACAGAGGTCTGCAATCAGAACAATTCCCTCGTGTCTACAATCTCTGCGGAGCCAAAAGCTTTAGAATTCGTGCAGTAATACAAAGTCTGCAATCAGAACGAGTCCCTCGAGTCTACAATCTAGCCAAAAGCTTTACATCCGAGGAGTAACAAATCTGAACGATTCCTCCAGTCTACAATCCGGAGCCCAAAGCTTACCATCCGAGCAGTAATGCACAGGTCTGCAATCAGACCGAGTCCTCGAGTCTACAATCCGTACGGAGCCAAAAGCTTTCCCATCGGTGCAGTGTTACTAAGGTCTGCAATCAGAACGGGTCGTTCGAGTCTACAGTCCGTGCGGAGCCAAAAGCTTTACCATCCGAGCAGGGTTACTCAGGTCTACAATCAGAACGAGTCATTCGAATCTACATTCCGTGCGGAGCCAAAAGCTTTGCCCTCCGAGCAGGGATATTCAGGTCTGCAATCTGATCGTGTCCTCTAGTCTACTATCCGTGCAGAGCATAAAGCTTTACCATCCGAGCAGTAATACACAGGTCTGCAATCAGAAAGATTCCCTCTAGTCTACAATCCGTGCGGAGCCAAATGCTTTAGCATCCCAGCAGTAATACACCTGTCTGCAATCAGAACGATTCCCTCGAGTCTACAATCCGTGCGGAGCCTAAAGCTTTACCATCCGAACAGTAATGCACAGGTCTGCAATCAGAACGAGTCCCTCGAGTCTACAATCCGTGCGGAGCCAAACGATTTACCATCCGAGCAGTAATACATAAGTCTGCCATCCGAACGAGTCCCTCGAGTCTACAATCCGTGCGGAGCCAAAAGCTTTACCATCCGAGCAGGGTTACTCAGGTCTGCAATCAGAACGACTCCCTCGAGTCTACACTCCGTACGGAGCCAAAAGCTTTCCCATCCGAGCAATATTACTCAGGTCTGCAATCAGAACGGGTACTTCGAGTCTACCGTCCGTGCGGAGCCTAAAGCTTTACCATCCGAACAGGGTTACTCAGGTCTACAATCAGAACGAGTACTTCGAGTCTACAATCCGTGCGGAGCCAAAAGGTTTACCATCCGAGCATGGTTACTCAGGTCTGCAATCAGATCGAATCCCTCGAGTCTACAATCCGTACGGAGCCAAAAGCTTTACCATCCGAGCAGTAATACACATGTCTGAAATCATAACGATTCCCTCGAATCTACAATCTATGCGGAGCCAAAAACTTTACCATCCGAGCAGTATTACACAGGTCTGCAATCAGAGCGAGTCCCTCGAGTCTACAATCCGTGCGGAGCCAAAAGCTTTACCATCCGAGCAGGGTTACTCAGGTCTGCAACCAGAACGAGTCCCTCGACTCTACAATCCGTACGGAGCCAAAAGCTTTCCCATCCGAGCAATATTACTCAGGTCTGCAATCAGAACGGGTCCCTCGACTCTACAATCCGTGCGAAGCCAAAAGCTTTACCATCCGAGCAGTAATACACATGTCTGCAATCAGAACGATTCCCTCGAGTCTACAATCCGTGCGGAGCCATAAACTTTACCATACGAGCAGTATTAAACAGGTCTCCAATCAGAACGAGTCCCTCGAGACTACAATCCGTGCGGAGCCAAAAGCTTTACCATCCGAACAGTAATGCACAGGTCTTCAATCAGAACGAGTCCCTCGAGTCTAGAATCCGTGCGGAGCCAAGAGCTTTACCACCCGAGCAGTAATACACATGTCTGCAATCAGAACGATTCCCTCGAGTCTACAATCCGTGCGGAGCCTAAAGCTTTACCATCCGAGCAGTAATGCACAGGTCTGCAATCAGAACGAGTCCCTCGAGTCTACAATCCGTGCGGAGCCAAAAGCCTTTCCATCCGGGCAGTAATACACTGGTCTGCAATGAAAACGAGTCCCTCGAGTCTACAATCCGTGCGAAGCCAAAAGCTTTACCATTCGTGCAGTAATACACAGGTCTGCAATCAGAACGATTCCCTCGAGTCTACAATCCGTGCGGAGCCATAAGCTTTACCATCCGAGCAGTAATACACAGGTCTGCAATCAGAACGAGTCCCTCGAATCTACAACCGTGCGGAGCCAAACGATTTACCATCCGAGCAGTAATACATAAGTCTGCCATCAGAACGAGTCCTCGAGTCTACAATCCGTGCGGAGCCAAAAGCTTTACCATCCGGGCAGGGTTACTCAGGCCTGCAATCAGAACGAGTCCCTCGAGTCTACAATCCGTACGGAGCCAAAAGCTTTCCCATCCGTGCAATGTTACTCAGGTCTGCAATCAGAACGGGTCCTTCGAGTCTACAATCCGTGCGGAGCCAAAAGCTTTACCATCCGATCAGTAATACACAGGTCTGCAATCAGAACGAGTCCTTCGAGTCTACAATCCGTGCGGAGCCAAAAGCTTTGCCATCCGAGCAGGGATACTCAGGTCTGCAATCTGATCGTGTCCCTCTAGTCTGCAATCCGTGCAGAGCCTAAATCTTTACCATCCGAACAGTAATGCACAGGTCTGCAATCAGAACGAGTCGCTCGAGTCGACAATCCGTGCGGAGCCGAAAGCTTTACCATCCGAGCAGTAATACACTGGTCTGCAATCGAAACGAGTCCCTCGAGTCTACAATCCGTGCGAACCCAAAAGCTTTACCATTCGAGCAGTAATACAGGGTCTGCATTCAGAACGATTCCTCGAGTCTACAATCCGTGCGGAGCCTAAATCTTTACCATCCGGACAGTAATGCACAGGTCTGCAATCAGAACGAGTCCCTCGAGTCTACAATCCTTGCCTAGCCAAACGATTTACCATCCGAGCAGTAATACATAAGTCTGCCATCAGAACAAGTCCCTCGAGTCTACAATCCGTGCGGTGCCAAAAGGTTTACCATCCGAGCATGGTTACTCAGGTCTGCAATCAGATCGAATCCCTCGAGTCTCCAATCCGTACGGAGCCAAAAGCTTTACCATCCGAGCAGTAATACACATGTCTGCAATCATAACGATTCCCTCGAGTCTACAATCCGTGCGGAGCCGAAAACTTTACCATCCGATCAGTATTACACAGGTCTGCAATCAGAACGACTCCCTCGAGTCTACAATCCGTGCGGAGCCAAAATCTTTACCATCCGAACAGTAATGCACAGGTCTGCAATCAGAAAGATTCCTCGAGTCTACAATCCGTGCGGAGCCATAAACTTTACCATCCGAGCAGTATTACACTGGTCTGCAATCAGAGCGAGTCCCTCGAGTCTACAATCCGTGCGGAGCCTAAAGCTTTACCATCTGAACAGTAATGCACATGTCTGCAATCAGAACGAGTCCCTCGAGTCTACAATCCGTGCGGAGCCAAAAGATTTACCATCCGAGCAGTAATACACTGGTCTGCAATCGAAACGAGTCTCTCGAGTCTACAATCCGTACGAACCCAAAAGCTTTACCGTTCGAGCAGTAATACATAAGTCTGCCATCAGAACGAGTCCCTCGAGTCTACAATCCGTGCGGAGCCAAAAGCTTTACCATCCGGGCAGGGTTACTCAGGCCTGCAATCAGAACGAGTCCCTCGAGTCTACAATCCGTGCGGAGCCAAACGATTTACCATCCGAGCAGTAATACATAAGTCTGCCATCAGAACGAGTCCCTCGAATCTACAATCCGTGCGGTGCCAAAAGCTTTACCATCCGAGCAGGGTTACTCAGGTCTGCAATCAGAACGAGTCCCTCGAGTCTACAGTCCGTGCGGAGCCAAAAGCTTTACCAACCGAGCAGGGATACTCAGGTCTGCAATCTGATCGTGTCCCTCTAGTCTACAATCCGTGCAGAGCATAAAGCTTTACCATCCGGGCAGTAATACACAGGTCTGCAATCAGAACGAGTCCCTCGAGTCGACAATCCGTGCGGAGCCAAAAGCTTTACCATCCGAGCAGTAATACACTGGTCTGTAATCGAAACGAGTCCCTCGAGTCTACAATCCGTGCGAACCCAAAAGCTTTACCATTCGCGCAGTAATACACAGGTCTGCAATCAGAACGATTCCCTCGAGTCTATAATCCGTGCGGAGCCAAATGCTTTACCATCAGAGCAGTAATACACAGGTCTGCAATCAGAACGAGTCCCTCGAATCTACAATCCGTGCGGAGCCAAACGATTTACCATCCGAGCAGTAATACATAAGTCTGCCATCAGAACGAGTCCCTCGAGTCTACAATCCGTGCGGTGCCAAAAGCTTTACCATCCGAGCAGGGTTACTCAGGTCTGCAATCAGAACGAGTCCCTCGAGTCTACAATCCGTACGGAGCCAAAAGCTTTCCCATCCGAGCAGTAATACACATGTCTGCAATCATAACCATTCCCTCGAGTCTACAATCCGTGTGGAGCCGAAAACTTTACCATCCGATCAGTATTACAGAGGTCTGCAATCAGAACGAGTCCCTCGAGTCTACAATCCGTGCGGAGCCAAAATCTTTACCATCCGAACAGTAATGCACAGGTCTGCAATCAGAACGATTTCCTCGAGTCTACAATCCGTGCGGAGGCAAAAGCTTTACCATCCCAGCAGTAATACACATGTCTGCAATCAGAACGATTCCCTCGAGTCTACAATCCGTGCGGATCCTAAAGCTTTACCATCCGAGCAGGGATACTCAGGTCTGCAATCTGATCGTGTCCCTCTAGTCTACAATCCGTGCAGAGAATAAAGCTTTACCATCCGAGCAGTAATACACAGGTCTGCAATCATAACGATTCCCTCGAGTCTACAATCCGTGCGTAGCCGAAAACTTTACCATCCGATCAGTATTACAGAGGTCTGCAATCAGAACGAGTCCCTCGAGTCTACAATCCGTTCGGAGCCAAAATCTTTACCACCCGAACAGTAATGCACAGGTCTGCAATCAGAACGAGTCCCTCGAGTCTACAATCCGTGCGGAGCCAAAAGCTTTACCGTCCGAGCAGTAATACACTGGTCTGCAATCGAAACGTGTCCCTCGAGTCTACAATCCGTGCGAACCCAAAAGCTTTACCATTCGAGCAGTAATACACAGGTCTGCAATCAGAACGATTTCCTCGAGTCTACAATCCGTGCGGAGCCAAATGCTTTACCATCAGAGCAGTAATACACAGGTCTGCAATCAGAACGAGTCCCTCGAGTCTACAATCCGTGCGGATCCAAACGATTTATTATCCGAGCAGTAATACATAAGTCTGCCATCAGAACGAGTCCCTCGAGTCTACAATCCGTGCGGAGCCAAAAGCTTTACCATCCGGGCAGGGTTACTCAGGCCTGCAATCAGAACGAGTCCCACGAGTCTACAATCCGTACGGAGCCAAAAGCTTTCCCATCCAAGCAATGTTACTCAGGTCTGCAATCAGAACGAGTCCTTCGTGTCTACATTCCGTGCGGAGCCAAAAGCTTTACCATCCGAGCAGGGATACTCAGGTCTGCAATCTGATCGTGTCCCTCTAGTCTACAATCCGTGCAGAGAATAAAGCTTTACCATCCGAGCAGTAATACACAGGTCTGCAATCATAACGATTCCCTCGAGTCTACAATCCGTGCGTAGCCGAAAACTTTACCATCCGATCAGTATTACAGAGGTCTGCAATCAGAACGAGTCCCTCGAGTCTACAATCCGTTCGGAGCCAAAATCTTTACCACCCGAACAGTAATGCACAGGTCTGCAATCAGAACGAGTCCCTCGAGTCTACAATCCGTGCGGAGGCAAAAGCTTTACCATCCCAGCAGTAATACACATGTCTTCAATCAGAACGATTCCCTCGAGTCTACAATCCGTGCGGAGCCTTAAGCTTTACCATCCGAGCAGGGATACTCAGGTCTGCAATCTGATCGTGTCCCTCTAGTCTACAATCCGTGCAGAGCATAAAGCTTTACCATCCGAGCAGTAATACACAGGTCTGCAATCAGAACGATTCCCTCGAGTCTACAATCCGTGCGGAGCCAAAAGCTTTACCATCCGAGCAGTAATACACTGGTCTGTAATCGAAACGAGTCCCTCGTGTCTACAATCCGTGCGAACCCAAAAGCTTTACCATTCGAGCAGTAATACACAGGTCTGCAATCAGAACGATTCCCTCGAGTCTACAATCCGTGCGGAGCCAAACGCTTTACCATCAGAGCAGTAATACACATGTCTGCAATCAGAACGTGTCCCTCGAGTCTACAATCCGTGCGGAGCCAAACGATTTACCATCCGAGCAGTAATACATAAGTCTTCCATCAGAACGAGTCCCTCGAGTCTACAATCCGTGCGAAGCCAAAAGCTTTACCATTCGAGCAGTAATACACAGGTCTGTAATCAGAACGAGTCCCTCGAGTCTACAATCCGTGCGGAGCCAAAAGCTTTACCATCCGAGCAGTAATACACTGGTCTGTAATCGAAACGAGTCCCTCGAGTCTACAATCCGTGCGAACCCAAAAGCTTTACCATTCGCGCAGTAATACACAGGTCTGCAATCAGAACGATTCCCTCGAGTCTATAATCCGTGCGGAGCCAAATGCTTTACCATCAGAGCAGTAATACACAGGTCTGCAATCAGAACGAGTCCCTCGAGTCTACAATCCGTGCGGAGCCAAACGATTTACCATCCGAGCAGTAATACATAAGTCTTCCATCAGAACGAGTCCCTCGAGTCTACAATCCGTGCGAAGCCAAAAGCTTTACCATTCGAGCAGTAATACACAGGTCTGTAATCAGAACGAGTCCCTCGAGTCTACAATCCGTGCGGAGCCAAAAGCTTTACCATCCGAGCAGTAATACACTGGTCTGCAATCGAAACGTGTCCCTTGAGTCTACAATCCGTGCGAACCCAAATGCTTTACCATTCGAGCAGTAACACACAGGTCTGCAATCAGAACGATTTCCTCGAGTCTACAATCCGTGCGGAGCCAAATGCTTTACCATCAGAGCAGTAATACACAGGTCTGCAATCAGAACGAGTCCCTCGATTCTACAATCCGTGCGGAGCCAAACGATTTACCATGCGGGCAGTAAGACATAAGTCTGCCATCAGAAAAAGTCCCTCGAGTCTACAATCCGTGCGGAGCCAAAAGCTTTACCATCCGGGCAGGGTTACTCAGGCCTGCAATCAGAACGAGTCCCTCGAGTCTACAATCCGTACGGAGCCAAAAGCTTTCCCATCCAAGCAGGGATACTCAGGTCTGAATCAGAACGGGTCCTTCGTGTCTACAGTCCGTGCGGATCCAAAAGCTTTACCGTCCGAGCAGGGTTACTCAGGTCTACAATCAGAACGAGTCCTTCGATTCTACAATCCGTGCGGAGCCAAAAGCTTTACCATCCGAGCAGTAATACACAGGTCTGCAATCAGAACGAGTCCTTCGAGTCTACAATCCGTGCGGAGCCAAAAGCTTTGCCATCCGAGCAGGGATACTCAGGTCTGCAATCTGATCGTGTCCCTCTAGTCTACAATCCGTGCAGAGCATAAAGCTTTACCATCCGAGCAGTAATACACAGGTCTGCAATCTGAACGATTCCCTCGAATCTACAATCCCAGCGGAGCCAAAAGCTTTACCATCCGAGCAGTAATACACAGGTCTACAATCAGAACGGTTCCCTCGATTCTACAATCCGTGCGGAGCCAAAAGCTTTACCATCAGAGCAGGAATACACAGGTCTACAATCAGAACGAGTCCCTCGAGTCTACAATCCGTGCGGAGCCAAACGCGTTACCATCCGAGCAGTAATACACAAGTCTGCAATCAGAACGAGTCCCTCGAGTCTACAATCCATGCGGGGCCAAAAGCTTTACCATCCGAGCAGTAATACACAGGTCTGCAATCAGAACGAGTCCTTCGAGTCTACAATCCGTGCGGAGCCAAAAGCTTTACCATCCGTGCAGGGATACTCAGGTCTGCAATCTGATCGTGTCCCTCTAGTCTACAATCCGTGCAGAGCATAAAGCTTTACCATCCGAGCAGTAATACACAGTTCTGCAATCAGAACGATTCCTTCTAATCTACAATCCGTGCGAACACAAAAGCTTTACCATTCGAGCAGTAATACACAGGTCTGCAATCAGAACGATTCCCTCGAGTCTACAATCCGTGCGGAGCCAAATGCTTTACCATCACAGCAGTAATACACTGGTCTGCAATCAGAACGATTCCCTCGTGTCTACAATCCGTGCAGAGCATAAAGCTTTACCATCCGATCTGTAATACACAGGTCTGCAATCTGAACGATTCCCTCGAATCTACAATCCCAGCGGAGCCAAAAGCTTTACCATCCGAGCAGTAATACACAGGTCTACAATCAGAACTAGTCCCTCGAGTCTACAATCCGTGCGGAGCCAAAAGCTTTACCATCCGAGCAGTAATACACAGGTCTGCAATCAGAACGAGTCCTTCGAATTGACAATCTTTGCGGAGCCAAAAGCTTTGCCATCCGAGCAGGGTTACTCACGTCTGCAATCTGATCGTGTCCCTCTAGTCTACAATCCGTCCAGAGCATAAAGCTTTTCCATCCGAGCAGTAATACACAGTTCTGAAATCAGAACGAGTCCTTCGAATCTACAATCCGTGCGTAGCCAAAAGCTTTGCCATCCGAGCAGGGATACTCAGGTCTACAATCAGAACGAGTCCTTCGATCTACAATCCGTGCGGAGCCAAAAGCTTTGCCATCCGAGCACGAATACTCAGGTCTGCAATCTGATCGTGTCCCTCTAGTCTACAATCCGTGCAGAGCATAAAGCTTTACCCTCCGAGCAGTGTTACACAGCTCTGCAATCATAACAAGTCACTCGAGTCTACAATCCGTGTAGAGCCGACAGATTTATCATCTGAGCAGGGACCCTAAGGTCTGCAATCTGATCGGGTCCCTCTAGTCTACAATCCGTGCAGAGCCGAAAGCTTTACAATCCGAGCAGTGATACTCAGATCTGCAATTAGAACGAGTCTTTTACAATCCGTGCGGGCCAAAAGCTTTACCATCCGAGCAGGGATACTCGGCTTTGCATCAGAACGTGTCCCTCTAGTGTACAATCCGTGCAGTGCCGACAGATTTATCATCCGAACAGGAGCCCTAAGGTCTGCATTCTGATCGGGTCCCTTGGGTCTGCAATCCGTACGTCGGCGTCTGGTTTACCATACGATCAGAGACCCTCCGTTCTGCCATCCGGACGTGTCACTCGGGTCTACAATCGGCGTGGTGCTGGAAGGTTCCACCGGTCTTCAATCTGTTCGTAGCCTATAAATTTAACATCGTAGCAGGGCCTCTCATGTCTGCAATTTGAACTAATCTCTAGTGTCAACAATCTGTGCGGGACCGTCAGGTTTACCATCCAGGCAAAACCCCTTAGATCTGCAATCCGAATGTGTCCCGCGGGTCTACAATCCGTGCAGGGCGAACATTTTTTTTTTTTTTTTTTTTTTGCAGCCGAGCAGGAATTCTCAGGTCCGAAATCCGAACGGGTCCCTCGGATATACACACCGTGCGTGATCTCACTTTTCGTGTAAGCAACTAAGAAAATGGCGGCCAAGAAGGAAGCTGAGATCATTTGAAAATACAATTAGAATTATGTCGGTAAAGTTGTTTGTCAAATCCTCTAAGAAATATTTCGAGAATTTTCTTCTTTTCTTTTTCTTTCTTTTTTATGTATGAATAAAAGGAAATTAAAAAAATGAATAACAATGAGAGAGTGTAAATAAAAAGAGAAATGAAGAATGAAGAAGAAATAAAATAAAAGCAGACATTGAAAGAGAATAAAAAGAAGAATAAATGATAGCGTGAAAAAATGAAAGAAAATGTCTGAATTTGAGAAAGAGAAAGAACATTAAAGAAATGGTTTTATGAAAGAGGCTGGTTCGCCTTTTTCTAATAACATTTGGTTGACTTACAATTGATCAGACAAAAATTAAAACTGCCATTTATATTTTCGTAAATTTTATAAATCTAATAGAATTGGTAAAACGAAATACAGAACAACCTCGGTTCTCTAACGTCTCACATATCGAACAAATACATTTGCGAACAGAAAATTCGAGATGAAAAAAGCCTCAGTTCTCGAACAAAATTTCGGTTCTCGAACAACATTGCCGAACCGATCTGAACCGTGTTAACCCGAACGAAATCATTTCTGAGTCAACCGCTTTGTTGTCTACATTCGTGTGTTGTGATGTACTTTTCTTTTCCAATTTTATTGTACTGTGTCTTTTTTTTTCTTTTCATTATTCCTTGGTCATGGATTCAAACAAAGCTATCAGTGATACTGGTTACAGAGGACCGTGTGTGTATTTACATGTTGTTGTATTAGAAACACGTGTGTAACTCCTCGTAGAATATTAAAATGTTCAACTAAAAGAAAATTGCCGCACTCAATTTAAGTCCAACTGAAGGTGTAAAGAAGATAAACAAAACCGATATATATATATATATATATATATATATATATATATATATATATATATATATATATAAAAACAAATATATGCATTAAACAAAACAATTTTACAATGGACATAGACAGTTGACATTGTGTTTGTTCTTTGGTAAATGTTCGTATTTTGGTGAATGTTCGTACGTACGTGTATGTTTGTAATGTTCATAGCATCTTCCCAGAAGTGGGAAACGCTGCCTTTTGTGAGAGCTCACATTGTAGTGGTGTTCGCTGAAATGAAGAAAGAAGAGAAAGAGGCAATGAAAAAATAAAGACATTTCCCTTCAGTATTTGGTCGATCATGGCTCTCCACCTTTTCTTTTTCTTCATATCTCTTAATAAAGTTTTCTTTACTCTCTCTCTCTCTTTCTCTCTCTCTTTCTTTTCCTAATTTCTCTCTTTTCTTAATCTCTCTCTTTCTTTTCTTAATCCCTCTCTCTCTCTCTTTATTTTCTTAAACTTTTTCTCTCTCTCTTTTCTTAATCTCTCTCTCTTTCTTTTCTTAATTCCTCTCTCTCTTCTTAATCTCTCTTTCTTTCTATCTCTCTCTCTTTCTTTCTCTCTCTTTCTTTTCTTAATCCCTCTCTCTCTCTTTATTCTCTTAATCTTTTTCTCTCTCTCTTTTCTTAATCTCTCTCTCTTTCTTTTCTTAATCCCTCTCTTTTCTTAATCCCTCTCTCTCTCTCTCTTTTCTTAATCCCTCTCTCTCTCTTTTCTTAATCTCTCTCTTTCTTTCTCTCTCTCTTTCTTTTCTTAATTCCCCTCTCTCTCTCTTTATTTTCTTAATCTTTTTCTCTCTCTCTTTTCTTAATCTCTCTCTCTTTCTTTTCTTAATCCCTCTCTCTTTCTTTTCTTAATCCCTCTCTCTCTCTCTCTTTTCTTAATCTCTCTCTTTCTTTTTCTCTCTCTCTCTTTCTTTCTCTCTCTCTCTCTCTTTTTCTTTTCTTAATCCCTCTTCTGCCAACCATTTATACACGTTCATTATTTCTATGTTTCATTTATGTTAACAAAGCTAATACAGAAAGAAAGATGGAATCCTGGAAAATCTGTCAACGGAAGTCAGTTTAAAATGACGGAAATCCTGAAATGAAACTAAGTGCCGTAGCAATCTCTGAGAATTCCCATATTTGTACTTCTCATTTAACATAACCAGGCAAATAAATACTAAAGAAAATGCGATGGCGATCATTACCCTCCACGGCATTTGTTTTTAATATTTCCAACATATCGCCACATCGACATGATTGTTTTAATGTTTCCCGTTACTTCCTTTACGATTTTGAATTCAGTTTTTGTAATACCCCCTAGTTCACCCAATACAAACCTCAAAATCTACTCAAGGTTGAGCGGAAGTGAAGGACGTTGTTTTAAGGGCAAAACAGGGGAAGATAAGAAGTGCATATTATAAAGATATGCAGGATTGATTGTTCCTCTATTAGTCTGGTGGCCAAACAGGGCCAGAGAGCCTGATATTTAACCTTTAGCTAGCAGATAAAAGATAGATCCTTAACTTTCTCTAGGGCAGAGGTGCAAAAGTAAGCACCCACTCTGTTCGGTGTTTCTATGGGCTTACAGCCATATCACTGAAGTTAAGCAACGTCGAGCCTGATCAGTACCTGGATGGGTGATCGCATGGGACTACCAGGTGCTTTAAGCTTTGATTTACGTGTGGTATTAAGGACTTACAACCATATCACTGCGAAACACCAGTTCTCGTGTGATCATTGAAGTTAAGCAACGTTGAGCCTGGTCAGTACCTGGATGGGTGATCGCTTGGGACTACCAAGTGTTTTAAGCTTTGATTTACAAGTGGTATTAAGGACTTACAACCATATCACTTCGAAACACCAGTTCTCGTGCGATCACTGAAGTTAAGCAATGTCGAGTCCGGTTAGTACCTGGATGGGTGGTCGCTTGGGACTACCAGGTGCTTTAAACTTTGATTTACGAGGGATATTAAGGACTTACGGCCATATCAGTTCGAAACCAGTTCTCGTGAGCTCACTGAAGTTAAGCAACGTCCAGTCTGGTCCGTACCTGGATGGGTGATCGCTTATGACTACCAGGTGCTTTAAGCTTTGATTTACGTGGGATATTAAGGACTTACGGCCATATCAGTTCGAAACATCAGTTCTCGTGCGATCACTGAAGTTAAGCAATGTCGAGTCCGGTCAGTACTTGGAAGGGTGATCGCTTGGGACTACCAAGTCTTTTAAGCTTTGATTTACAAGTGGTATTAAGGACTTACGGCCATATCACCTCGAAACACGAGTTCTCGTGCGATCACTGAAGTTAAGCAACGTCGTGTCTGGCCAGTACATGGATGTGTGATCACTTGGGAATACCAGGTGCTCTAAGCTTTTATCTGGTGGTGTATTGGGATGACGTCTCATAACCGGAAGCTGGCGAGCCGTTTTCTAATTCCAGTCTGATGCGTTATATTCACTTACGCGTAAATACCGTTGGGAAAGGTATTACTCCACCTTTTCGATCCCCACCTATGGATTAATTAGTAGGACATATCACTCAATCATTGTTATCCCTGAATTTTCATCTATCGTGATGAATGAGTGTTCTCCCAGAGAGGCGCCTGCCTTGTGACTCTATTGGGATTTAAACTCACCCCAGACCTCAAGTGGAACATCGCTAAAGATCCCGGAACAATATTTTGTTCCCTATACCGCTCCAATAAGTACCTGTCTCCTCCTGTTATTCTCTTTCTTTAAAAGTGCCAGATCAAACCAAAAATGGAGAAGTGCTGTCATATATGTGCAGGAGCTGCCCAGACATCACTTTCCAGTCTCGAGAGCGTCCAAAGTTTTCCAGTCTTCAAAAGCGTCTCCGCGTCCTTGAGGGTGATGAATTATTTCCACAGACGAAACGCCGCATTCTTCTTACTGCGCTGTTGCTATTTCCAAGGAAAATGTTCAGACGAACTTCATACCTTAGTTCCGTCAATTCTAATCTTTACGGCTAAGACCAGTCAAGTCACGCACATAGTGGCAATTAGTTCATTCCGTTTATATTCAACTAGTGAGATGTAACTTCCACCGAAGCAGCTTCTTTCCGAGAAGCTCTGAGAGAATCCCAAGAGAATGCTTCCTTCATAGCTACAACGTTAACCTATATTTTTTTTTTTTTTAAGCATTACGCCCCGAGCAAGGCGTGAAGCCACTAGGATGCAGGGGGTTGTAGAAGATTTGGAGCGAGAGCAGATAGGAGTGATAGAAGAAAGGATGAGGAGAGGGATAGTGGATAGATCAAGGTAACTGGAGATGTCGACTGACATTACATTTGAATAGTTGGAGATTATAGCTCTCAGGGAAACAGTAATTGGGAAGGGTGTTCCACAGGCGAGAGGTGCGAGGTATGAAGCTATTGGAGTAGAAGAGACGGCTACATTTAAAAGTTTCTACAGTGTAAGGGTGGGAGGGTGATGCCAGCCTCGTAGGGCGCTTGAATTCATGGAGTCTGGGAACCAGTGAAAGCAGCTCATCGGAGCAATTACCATGAAAGTATTTGTAGAAAAGACAGAGAGAGGCGACGGCGCGTATAAAAGTCTAGGGTTAAACCTTATCTACCATGCATACCCTTCTAATATGTACCTGTTACTCTGTAACCCTCTACCTCGAGTGGTTCTTGGGCCTTGTACAAGGTGAACATCATAAAAATATCAGCAAAACATTCTCAACTATATCCGGCAGCAAGGGCTCTGATCAGGAGATTGGATGATTTGACGAGTGTGGAACCACTACGTAATTGCTGTTTGTTACCAGGTCCATCCTGAGACGAGGTGGTAGCACCTGTTAGGATCCGAGCTATGACCAAATAGTGAAAATAAAAATAGTAAAAATAGAAAAAAAATACGAGTAGTACACTTTATATAAAACAAATAGTAGATTTCCCAACAATAAATATTATAGCAAAATGGCAAACAATATATTTATACCAAGTTGAAGCCATAAAAGTATTTTAAAAATATATGCAGTTTAGATTTCGGCATTAAATAACCCATAGATGTTGATATGCCACTAAACAAAATCAACCAATCCAAAATTTGAAGGCATACAATTGCGTTCAAAATATATTTAATTGAAGCCATAAAATAGTGTTCAAAATATTTAGATTTCGGCAATTAAATGACCCATAGAGGTGCTGATATGCCGCTAAACAAAATCAACCAACCAAAATTGAAGGCATACAATTGCAGTAAAAATATATTTAATTGAAGCCATAAAATAGTGTTCAAAATATTTAGATTTTGGCATTAAATAACCCATAGAGGTTGATATGCTGCTAAACAAAATCAACCAACCAAAATTTGAAGGCATACAATTGAGTTCAAAATATATTTAATTGAAGCCATAAAATAGTGTTCAAAATATTTAGATTTCGGCAATTAAATGACCCATAGATGTGTTGATATGCCGCTAAACAAAATCAACCAAACCAAAACATTTTCAGAATCTAAAAACTTTTCTGGTTTTAAATAGACTGCAAAAGGTTGATAAACCGTAAAAACATATGAATCAATCCTAGAGCGGTAGCAGGAACCGAATACCTCCTGCTAATACCGGAATTAGTAGAATTAGTAGAAATAAGAAACGAAGATACTAATGAACATCAAATTCATTGAGCAATAAAAGCTAATTTTCCTTTTGGTACATTTGAAACATTGAACTTATTTCTCTCCTAATATTTTCTGAAATATTTTATGCTTCTTTTTTCGCCTTGATGGATAAAAAAAATGGTACGAATTATCAGATCATGGCATTGATGTGTGAAGGTGTCTTTTCTACCAATTAATTTTTCACGGGGATGAGTGTCTTGATTAATGTCATCGGGAAAGATGAACAAGTGAGTGAATATATATATATATATATATATATATATATATATATATATATTAGAAAGCGCTCAATATCAGAGATAGAGCTCAATACCATATATATATATATATATATATATATATATATATATATATTTAATTATTTCAGAGATAGAGCTCAATACCAAATATATATATATATATATATATATTTTTGTATTGAGCTCTATCTCTGAAATACTAAATATATATATATATATATATATATATATATATTGAGCTCTCTATCTCTGAAATATATATATATATATATATATATATATATATATATATATATATATATATATATATATATATATTTGGTATTTCAAAGATAGAGCTCAATACCAAATATATATATATATATATATATATTTGGTATTGAGCTCTATCTCTGAAATACTAAATATATATATATATATATATATATATATATATATTTGGTATTGAGCTCTATCTCTGATATTGAGCGCTTAATAAGTACCGCGCATATAATATATAAATAATTATACATACTTATATTTATTTATATTTATATACACACACTTTTCACACGCACAGACACACACACAGACACACACACACACATATGTGTGTGTGTGTGTGTGTTTCTATATTTAATTATCAGATCATGGCATTGATGTGTGAAGGTGTCTTTTCTACCAATTAATCTTTCACGGGGATGAGTGTCTTGATTAATGTCATCGGGAAAGATGAACAAGTGAGAGTGGGATATATATATATATATATATATACGTGTGTGTGTGTGTGTGTGTGTGTGTGTGTGTGTGTGTGTTGGTAGTCATGAGCTCCTTCTAAAGGAGGAATGAAATTTGAGAAATAATTAAAGAGGAAAAGAACAAATGAGGAAAAATATGGGGAAAGAAAAGCAAAAAGTGAAAAAGAAAAAATGTTGAAGAGAGAAAAGATGAAAATTTAGGCAAAATTAATTGGAAAGAAATAAAGATTGAAAAGCAAAAGAAGAAGAATTTAGGAAAAAATGGAAGGAATGAGTAACAAAGAAAGAAAGAAAGAAAGAAAGAAAGAAAGAAAGAAAGAAAGAAAGAAAGAAAAAACAAAAAGATTTTAAAAATATGGAAAATTTTTTTTAATTTAAAAGTGGAAATATGGAGATTAGAAAAGAAAATGTAAGAAATGAAAAAGAAAGAAGTCGAAAAGAGAAAGAAAGAAAGAATAATATTCCTGAAAATGAAGAAGAAAATTCAATAAAGTAGAAAGAAAGAGAAAAAAGAGAAAGAAAGAGTAATATTACAGTAAATGAAGAATAAAGAATGAAAGAAAGACAAAGAAAGAAAGGTCAATATTACGGTAACTGAAAGACAGAAAAAAAGAATGAAAAGAAAGAAAGAATAATATTCCTGAAAATGAAGAAGAAAATTCAATAAAGTAGAAAGAAAGAGAAAAAAGAGAAAGAAAGAGTAATATTAAAGTAAATGAAGAAGAAAGAAAGAAAGAAAGAAAGAAAGAAAGAAAGAAAGAAAGAAAGAAAAAGAAAGAAAGGTCAATATTACGGTAACTGAAAGACAGAAAAAAAGAATGAAAAGAAAGAAAGAATAATATTCCTGAAAATGAAGAAGAAAAATCAATAAAGTAGAAAGAAAGGGGAAAAAAGAGAAAGAAAGAGTAATATTACAGTAAATGAAGAAAAAAGAAGGTAAGAAAGATCGACTTGAAACAAGAATTAATTTAAAATATGGAAGAGGATAACATTTTGTCCGACACATATTTTTTCTTTGCCAATTATCAGTTTTCCAATTTTCCATCCACACTTAATTAACACCACCGAAGATAAGTACAACGTTGAACATTGAAACCCACGCATCGTTCCGGAAATATGAATCAGGAGCCCTCTAATAAAATCTGACGGCCATGGTTGATTAACACCGCGATATATTGACAAATAAAGAAAAATATGATGGCGGTTCAAGTGAAATCTTTCTGTCGAGTCAAAATCGGTCGTCGAAAATGAAATCAACAAAAAGTCAGTCTCTTTCGTTTTATCTTGATTCTTTTATGGCGTTTTGACATTTCGTTTCTCGAAATAAAACGATGCTATTTACATCCACATGAAACTGCGAAATCGTTGATTAGACATAATAAAAAAAAGTGAATGAAGTAATTTATTGGCAATATACGAGAAGACAAGCCACCGGCATTCAAGTGAAGGGAGGGCTCTAACTCTTACGCCACTTTAAGGCATATATATATATATATATATATATATATATATATAAACCTAATGAGCCAGACAAACCTACCCCAGGTTTCACCTAAGCGGATCGTCAGGGCCAGCTTTCCTGACGATCCGTTTAGGTGAAACCTAGATAGGTTTGTCTGGCTCACTAGGTTTATCTAGGTCTGCTCTACGGTTGTATTGAGATCTTTTGTTAGTTGTTTACTCGTATCGGTGGGACCACACATACACACACACAAGTATCTATGGAGAACGAATATATATACACATA